GGGTGCTCTCAGCAGCCAGAAGCTCACACGTGCAATCAGCCAAACCTGGGGCTGATTGCAGAAAGGTGTATTTAAGGCATGACCAGGCCTGTGCTCTGGGCCTTGGTGTATGTTTCCCCATGAGCCTCTGTACCTGGTATCCTGTGTTCCTGCTTCGTTGCTGACCCGGCTTGATCCTGACCTCTGCTGACCGTCTCCTGTTGAACCCCTGGCTTGCCTGACCATCCTTCTGCCTGATCCCCTGTACCGCGCTGCCCGTGAGTTACTGAACCCGGCTTGTGACCTTGACCATTCTCTGCCAGCTCCTTTGGTACCTTGCTGCCCGCACGTTGCTGACTTGGCCCGTCTGACCACGCTAACTACTCTGCCATCCATCCATCCTGCACGGATCCAGCCGTACCTGCACATACCTCTGGCGGATCCCTCTACCACTAGCAGGTGTACTCAGAGGCCGCGACCTGGTTCCTGTCTGCTCCAAGTCCATCCCCACCATCAGGGGCCCTGGTGAATAAGCAAACTGGGACTTAGACTCCGCGCCCTGGGGAATCCTGTCCTGGGGACCACTAGAGGTACCACCAAACGGTCATTACAAAACCCTACGGCCGGCCTGACCGTTCCACCTCTCCAGCCCTGACTACGCCTGTGTTCCTGCACCTACTAAGATTAGTGGAAGGTTGGTTTGTTCACTGTGCGTTTATATATATATATATATATATATATGGGTGGCTAATAATAAACTGTATTATTATACTCTACCTGAAACCTGCGTTTCCCTGTGTCAGTCCACACCTTTCTGGTCACTCCTAGATTCCTGACAAAGCTCCATGTTGAGAAACAGCCTCCAAAGTGACTTCTGAGACCAGAAAACATCAAAAAAAAGAAAACTCACATAGTGCATTATCCTTAGCAACTTAAATAAAAACACATGTGATTCACACACAAAAACACTTGTGATCACAAATAATGCCAAAAGTGAACAATCGTGTAAATGTGTCAGTGAAACAAGCTCATGAAAAAACAATATAATAGCAAAACAGTGAAAAAAAACTATAGTGTGCAAATAAATACCCTTACCAAATGCAAAAAAACACAGGGCTTGTAATCATCAAGGCAGGGTGATGTCATATAATATGCTCCACCAAAGAGATCCTCACAGCCACATAGATATACTCCTCTCTAAACACCAGTCTCCATACTTCAAAACGATGCCCACCATATATATAAAATAAATGATAGTGTAAATCTGCATATAACTATCAGAAAATACTTTATTTATATGCTTACATTATTTTTCATCTTTAAAATTGCCATCAAACAAATTCCTAGCAGCCAGACCTCTGGAGATCCTCTGAAACACTTCTCCTGTGTATTAGATAGGACTTTCCAGGATCTAAAATGGCCGCTCGGTCACTTCTGGTTCCGCTGTGCATCTGACGTCACTTCCCTTGACGCGTTTCGTCATTGGACTTAATCATAAGGGATAGAGACGTCAAGCAGGAAGGTCATACTTATACCCCTCTCTGACATGAGCGCCGAGACCAAAGCCGCCATGTCAGGGAAGGGACCGCTGCCCATACTACGCTGCATCTCCTAGATTGTAAGCTCGAAAGAGCAGGGCCCTCAATCCCCTCATGTTTTGCATTGTATTGGTATTGTTCTGTCACATGTTCTGTCCCCCTTTGTAATGTACAGCGCTGAGCGAACTATTGGCGCTTTATAAATACTGTATAATAATAATAGTCTAATACATTATAGACACCCGCGGCTGATATACCCGCTACACTCTGCATAATAACGGAGAATGTCCCCTGAGAGGTCATACACATCAGAAGTCACTTTGGAGGCTGTTTCTCAACATGGAGGTTTTTCTTTGAATTTATGAATGACTTTGATTTTTGAGTGACTTTATTTCCCTTGGAGGACATTTTTCAGATATTGGGATTTGGTTATTTTGTATTTATTGGTTATTTCTGGCACTGTTTGGATTTTGTTAAAAAGCATATTAATTTATTAAACATGTAGGTGTAACACCTACAAATGTGTTACACCTACATGTGTATTAATTAATTAAAGTAATCACTCTGCCAATATCTATTTTCTTTCTGAAGGGCAGCACCACCTTTGCATTATTCAGGGTCAGCATTTACTTTGTGGCCCAAGATGCCGGCTTAGAGATGATGCAATTATGTAAAATTTGGTGCCTGTACATTTCTTGGCTGTTTTCACATGTCTGGCACCAATCAGCCCCCTACTGTAGTCTCCTACCTTATGACTTACCATAAAGCTACAATGCTCTAGTCCAGGGGTCTGCAACCTTTAAGACATAAAGAGCCACTTGGACCCATTTCCGAGAGGGAAAAAAAGACTGGGAGCCGCAAAACCATTGCAACATTTAAAACAAATCCGACACTGCATATATTGCAAAAAAACGCTCTGGTCATGAAGGGGGTTTAAGGGCCCAGTAAGCAAAGGGTTAATCAGGGCCACAGTGTATCGTCATAATCACAATCATAGCCTTAGGTCAGTGGTGGGCAACCTTTTTTTTCGACTGAGCCAAATCTCGCCAAAACCACGATTGAAATTTATTTTGAGAGAAACCTTTTTAAAACTGAAAATACATCCCCATATAGTAATTCATCCCCCATATAGTAATTCATCCCCCATAGTAATTCATCCCCCATAGTAATTCATCCCCCAGATAGTAATTCATCCCCCATAGTAATTCATCCCCCTATAGTAATTCATCCCCCCTATAGTAATTCATCCCCCATAGTAATTCATCCCCCCTATAGTAATTCATCCCCCCTATAGTAATTCATCCCCCATATAGTAATTCATCCCCCGTAGTAATTCATCCCCTATAGTAATTCATCCCCCCTATAGTAATTCATCCCCCATATAGTAATTCATCCCCCATATAGTAATTCATCCCCCGTAGTAATTCATCCCCTATAGTAATTCATCCCCCCTATAGTAATTCATCCCCCATATAGTAATTCATCCCCCCTATAGTAATTCATCCCCCCTATAGTAATTCATCCCCCCTATAGTAATTCATCCCCCATAGTAATTCATCCCTCATATAGTAATTCATCCCCTCATATAGTAATTCATCCCCCCTATAGTAATTCATCCCCCCTGTAGTAATTCATCCCCCCCTGTAGTAATTCATCCCCCGTAGTAATTCATCCCCCTATAGTAATTCATCCCCCCTATAGTAATTCATCCCCCATAGTAATTCATTCCCCATATTGTGTGAATTCACTTACCTTTGCTCCGCGCGTTCCTCTCGCTGGGTTCCCGCGCCGTTCTGGTCTTCAGGGCGGACTGTGAGAGGAGAGGAGTTCGTCACGCTGCCCCGCCTACATCCGGGCTGCCCCGCCTACATCCTGACAGCCAATGTTTGCCAGCGGGCGCCCGGCACACAGAAGATCTACATTAAAAGAGCCGCGGCTTGCCGACCCTATTGCCTGTCACCTGGTGGGCAGTGTGCTCCGGAGCCGCAGGAAAGGTGAAAAAGAGCCGCATGCGGCTCCGGAGCCGCGGGTTGCCGACACCCGCTCTAGTCTGATCACTGGGTGCAAGGAAACTAAGGAAATATTTATTCCTGCGTGCAGAGGACTGGTGGCATTATCTCAGTATAAGTAAAATCACCAGATGTGACCTCAAGGACAGCTTTTATATTAAAGAAGGCAAAACTTTTTTAAAATATTATACTGTTGCTGTATATAGTGAAATGTCATTTATGCACACTTGACAGTTCCACCTTAATGCTGTTATATTGCACTAGTCAATAAGGGGCTAATCCATCACCTGTGCAGTCCAAAAACCTGCATATATGTTATTGTGTGAATATGTAACTATGAAATCTTAGTTCCTTTCTAAAATGTTTAAAAGTGTTTTTACAAGAGATGGGTGTGTTACAAGCAAGAAAGAACAAAACGTTGAAAAGAAAGTACAGGGAAGTGATGAGCCATAAGTTTAATGAATTTTTTAATGAATGCAAATATTAAGAAACAATACACAACTCAAATGGCAGCATCCCTAATTATATGTATTGGCTGTGTACAAATGCACTCAAAACACCAAAGCACAATGCAATAACAAAATCCTTGCAAAGCATAAAGCATTAAATTCAAGTGTACAATATGAAAATCCCCAATCCTATTATATAGGACATTCATATAACAGATTAAATAAAATACATACAATAAAAGATGTATTATCAATTTATATGTTGTGTTGTGTTTCATTTTCTGAAGCAATATTTGCTCTGCATAATAAAATACTTAGCACAAATTTTACAGCAGTGAATTATAAATAAAAAAGGAGGCCACTGCCAGATATAAAATATACAGGTTATAAACAACCTGCATGATCAGTAAATAAAAACTTTTACAGTCTGCCCCCAAAGACCCAGTTATTCCCCCTTTGGGCACAGCCATCTTGCCGCTCTCATAGCATACGTATGGTAAAGGCCAACTATCAGTCACAACTCACATATCAAAGACTCCTATGGTCTTCTTCTGACAGTTACATGTTTTTGATCTCTGCAGGGTAGGAGGCCTACATGAATTGATAGGGAGGTGCATGTATTGATGAGGAAGGGTTTAGAGTGTTGACATTTCACAAAAAGTTGAAATATGTGTTTTGGTAACAGCACTGCTTAGTCTCTTTAGGCAGGATATTTTGAGGGAAGGAGTGAATCTGAAATAATTGTTGGACAAGGTTATGAATTTACCACTACACATGCTTTGGCAATGGAATACCAAACATTTATACTGCCTGTCTTTGAAAAAAAATGTATTTGCAAAAATCAATACATTGATTCTTTTATTTTGTTACCTTGGCTCCTAAAGTGGAATTCCAGTTTATACCATACTAGTCTTAAACTCTCCCACCAACCTCCTAACACCTCTACTAGCTATCCTGTGTAATACTATGTAAGAAAGATGCACCGTGTTTTTCGCTCCATAAGACACACCTGACCATAAGACTCACCTAGATTTTAGAGGATGAAAAAGAGAAAAAAAAATTCTGAAGCAATGGACTGCAGACATAGTACAGGAGATGACCAGCGACTGCGTACATAGTACAGGAGATGACCAGCGACTGCGGACATAGTACAGGAGATGACCAGAGACTGTGGACATGCTACAGGGGATGACCAGAGACTGCGGACATGCTACAGGAGATGACCAGAGACTGCAGATATACTACAGGAGATGACCAGAGACTGCGGACATAGTACAAGGAGATGACCAGAGACTGCGAACATACTACAGGGGATGACCAGAGACTGCGAACATAGTACAGGAGATGACAAGAGACTGCGGACATACTACAGATGACCAGAGACTGTTGACACATTACAGGAGATGACCAGAGACTACGGACATAGTACAGGAGATACCAGAGACTGCAGACATAGTACAGAAGATGACCAGAGACTCCAGACATACTACAGATGACCAGAGTATGCGAACATATTACAGGAGATGACCAGAGACTATGGACATAGTACAGGAGATGACCAGAGATTGCGGACATAATACAGGAGAGGACCAGAGACTGTGGACAGTACAGGCGATGACAAGAGACTGCGATCATACTACAGATGACCAGAGACTGTTGACATATTACAGGAGATGACCAGAGACTACGGACATAGTACAGGAGATGGCCAGAGACTGCAGATATAGTACAGGAGATGACCAGAGACTCCGGACATACTACAGATGACCAGAGACTGCAGACATAGTACAGGAGATTACCAGAGACTGTGGACATAGTACAGGAGGTGGCCAGAGACTGCAGACACATTACAGGAGATGACCAGAGACTACGGACATAGTACAGGAGATGACCAGAGACTGCGGACATAGTACAGGAGATGACCAGAGACTGTGGACATAGTACAGGAGATGACCAGAGACTGCAGACATACTACAGGAGATGACCAGAGACTGCGGACATACTACAGGAGATGACCAGAGTATGCGGACATAGTACAGGAGATGACCAGAGACTGATGACATATTACAGGAGATGACCAGAGACTACGGACATAGTACAGGAGATAGCCAGAGACTGCAGACATAGTATAGGAGAGGACCAGAGACTGTAGACATAGTATAGGAGATGACAAGAGACTGCAAACATACTACAGATGACCAGAGACTGCTGATACAGGAGATGATCAGAGACTACGGACATAGTACAGGAGATGGCCAGAGACTGCAGACATATTACAGGAGATGACCAGAGACTACGGACATAGTACAGGAGATGACCAGAGACTGCAGACATAGTACAGGAGATGACCAGAGACTGTGAAATACTACAGGAGATGACCAGAGTATGCGGACATAGTACAGGAGATGACCATAGATTGCGGACCTTTGGGGAGAGGGGGTGGGTACCCAAATTTGACAGGTACCCGCTCCCACTTCCATGGAGTTGTCCTCCCCCCTCCCTCCCTGTAGTCTTGTGGGACACGTGACAGGTCCCACAAGACTATGGGGTCATTCACAAAGCGCAGCACTTCTTGCGCATGCGCAGTGGTACACCCCGGCTGTGGGCAGTGGGCACCCGGCAGTCACAGCTGGATGCCCACACTGAAGATGCCGGTGCGAGAGAGAAAAGGCAGCCGATGGAAGCAGGACACCACTGGACCAAGGAACCAGGTAGGATGGAGGAGCAGGTTCTTCTTCACAGTAGAGCCTGGCGGCCGGCCCGGTATTCTAAACACGGTGGCGGGAATACCGGACCAGACGCTCCATATTCACTCCATAAGGTGCGCAGACATTTTCCCCCATTTTTTTTGGGGGGGGGAAAAAAAGTGCGTCTTATGGAGCGAAAAATACAGTATATATTTCCCTTTTTTCAGGCCAGTCCAGTCCTGCCACTGGTCTCCCCTGTGTCAGTCAGTGGCAGCTGCACTGAGGAGGAGAGAGCGCTCTGACAACAGCTAGTAAAGCCTGGAGTGGTGATGTCACCCATAGGCTTCATTGGCCCATCCAATAACAGTGTTCCCTCCATTCCCCTGAAACCGTACTGGCTAATCATGTAAACAGAGCAGCCTGAATTCAGATAAGTAAATACATGTTTCTTACACAGGTTAGTTAGCATAGCTGTTGGAAAGAGGAGGGGAAAATGTTAAGGCTAGTTAGGCGTATGCTGAAATTCCACTTGAAGAGACCACTTACACCCTGTGTGTATAAAAAGAGCTTTTGAGAGATGTAGCTCTAGGGAAGTGTCTATAACAATAGGAGATGAGCTGCCCCTGCAAGAATATTACCAGTATTGTGAGTTATAAAAGTGGTTACTTGCTGTGAAAATAAGGTAAATCTGGGTATCCCCTAGAAATAAACTTTATGTATCTTTCAATCTGTGGGTTGAAAAAAAAACTCATACAAAAAAGTAAAATGGAAACATAAGATATAGATAGAGATTTATCAAGACAATTGGGTTAATTTACTAAACAAGTACAACATGTATAGTCATTTTTTTTTTATAGAGCATTCAATGTTAACAGAACATTATTATAAAATCTTAGTGCATATTCTTTATTCCTTTAGTAAATCAAGTTTACAAAGATTCTGGATACTTCAAAGAGTTTTTTTTATTGAGCAGATATCCAACAGAAGCATAATACAGTATATGAATACACAGTATTTTTTAAAGGAGATAGGGATGGTAATGACAGAAATACCAACATATTTATGAGGGGACATGAAGAGGGTGTGATATACTTTCTAAACCAGGGTTTCTCAACCAAGGTTCCATGGAAATCTAGGGTTCCTCCAGAGGTTGCCAGGGGTTCCTTGAGCAATGAGAAATTTCTGCCTCTCAGATAAGTTCCCACTGACAGCATTGATTCTCTCTCTCGCTATCTGTAAGGGGGGATTCTTACCAATGAATACAGGCATAAGGAGTGTTCCTCCTACTGACAATCACACTAATGTATCATAAGTTGTAGATATAATAATTTTTAGCAGGGGTTCCCTGAGAATGAAAAGTTATTTCAAGGGTTCCTCAGTGATAGAACATGATAAGGTAAAGTAAAGGCAGAAAGGGGTTGCTGGAGAGTCAAAGGAGATATGGATTGAACAGGGATCCCCTTGGTTTTTCCATGTTGTACCATGTAGTTTTGCAGAAGGTTGACAGAATTTGAGAGTTGGATAGGGTGTTAAAAAAAAAATGGAAGCCATGAAAACCTCTCAGTTTTGGGAAATTTGGAATGTTTGGTGTTGAGTTTACATTAGTCTAGTTCAGTTAGAGTTTGTGGAATGTCTGTAGTATTAGACTTCAGGAGGAATAGCCAACTTATCAAAATACATTTTTTTAAGAACAAGAGGCTTACATGTTTGAATATGGCTAATTTATGGTATGTCAAACTAGTTTGTGAACTTGTGTGTGTCTTCAAGATTTGAAAAAGTGCTAAGATTAGTCTGGGCTTTTTGTGTATACCTATAGTATGGGTCATAAAGTATGGGTCACCAAAAGTTAGTGATTACAAGGCAAGACCTCAAAAGATAGTCAGCTTCAAAGTGTTGAAAATATGGGCAGTTTCTGTGGAAAGAGTCACTGGCAGGGTCAATATCAAGTTTAATATTTAAAGCATAGTAAGCTCTGTGAAGTATTTTAAAATCATTTCTCATCAATCATCATTCTTAGATTGTAAGCTCTAATGAGCAGGGCCATCTGATTCCTCATTTCTCATTCATATTGAATTGTATTATAACTGTATTGTCTGCCCTCATGTTGTAAAGTGCCATGTAAACTGTTAGCGCTATATAAATCCTAAATAATAATAATAATAATCATCAAAATTCCCTTATAATGCTTTCCAAAGCATTTCTAATAGGGGCTTTATTAAGGAAAAAAGGCCATTAATTTATATAGAGAAGATTAGGTGTGCCAGTGGATGGGGAGTTTTTGAGAAAATAATATAACAGAGTAACTGAGTATTTCATTTGTTTAGGATTTATAGAAGTGGTTAGAAAACTAGTTATGTTTGTGGGTTTTAACATAATAGAATGTAAGTGAGGATGTGAAAGCTTGTAGAATTGAGAAGGACAAAAGTTGAAGATCTTCATCTAACTCATCAACAGTTCTGTCTGCCTAGCCGGGGTAAAATCTCTCTGGTCAGCATACAGTTATATAATAAAACTTGAGATTCAGCTATCTCATTTTTAGGAATATTAACAAACTCTGAACCTAACCTTTCGATGCCATGTTCCTTCATCCTTGCAGAGTGTACAATAACTCCAGTCACCTCCTCAAAAGAAATCCATTTAAAAACTGAATATTTACCTGATCAGGGAGGAGAGGGGAGCCCCCTGTGAGAAAGTGCCCTGCATTTGGTAAGTGAAATTAGTTGTATTCAGCTGTGTGTAGCAAGGAAGAAAAAAAAATACTTCTTTTGGATGTTTCTTGATAGTTTCATTCAAGTCCCTGACAAAGGTGATGTGATATTCTGAAGTTGACCCCTGCTAAATAGGCCAGTAGATGGCCAGTGTATTGGCTTCAAATCTTTAATTTTAGTAGGCTTGGATCTTGCTCTAAGAACAGCTTTGGCTGATTCCCAGAACAGAACAGTGTTGTGTTTGTGTTGCCATTATAGTGAACATATTCCAACTAGCTGATTAATTGGGTTTGAAATTTCTCATCTTGAAATAGGTGAGTAGGGAATTTCCAACTTGGTGGGACAATATGGAGTGGGAATTATAGAGATCTGCTACTCGGAGCATGGTCAGAAATGACAAGGGGCAATTTGTCAGAACTCTAAGGTGAAGAAAGACATGATCAACCATCCAAAATCGCAACCTGGAGAAAGATTTGTGGATGACTAAAAGGTGGAAATGGCCTCTTTCAAAGCAACAGAAGTGCCTCCAACTGCTCTTCAAGTCCAATGCATTAACAAAGCTCTCATAGGCCAGATCCTATGCATTGGATTCAGATTGCAGACTTCAGGATGCCTGCTTATTTTAAGAAAAATTCAAAACATTATTAAAGTCTTCTCCAACTACAAGAATATTTAAAGAAAACTGCCTTGGCAGTATTGGGCCCTTAGATGTTCAAGACAGAATGTTAATGTGATCCCTTGATCATGAGTGATACAATAATGATGATTGATTAAAAGAACATAGCAGATGAGAAGCAGAGATATCCCAGCGGAGCATTTCCCCAAACCAAGAAAAAAAGCCTCTTCTCTTGGGAGTCACCAGTAGTGAAGTTAATCTTATTACAATATTCACACAAAGGTGAGAACAACTGTTGCTTTACTTATTTGTGTTGGGTTTCATCAATAATTACCCAACAGCACAGCTTATTTCTTTTAGTGAATAGTATAATTAAATTGAAAAAAAGGATGAGCACATCAATAATAGTTGCAGTTTCAGATACTCCTGATTTCTCTCATGTAGAGTTGGAGAAGGGAAAGGAAAATGCTAAGATTCAAAAGCTGGAAACTTTTTCATAATAATAATAATGTAACTAAAAATAACTGAATGGATTTAGCTACCATACTTTACTGCCAAGGGTAGCACAGGTCACAGAAAAGAAAATAATACAAAATCTGTTGCCTATTGAGATGAGCATTTGAAAAATGCCAGATGCAAAGGAAATAATGTTCTTCTTTTTCAATATATTTTACCTATTAACATTATACTTCTCCTGGGATAAAGCAAAATAGCAGGTGGGCCACCTGCTTTATTACAACTATGTGAATTGGTGGGTAAAATGCACAAGGCAAATTACAGGGACTGTATACTGTGTTTGGAACATTGAGGTGACATAGCTAATTGTGACATAGTTGAATGTGCATAAAGTGATACTAAACACACACTGTTTAATTGATATTATCCCTTCTCTTTCTGTATATAGATGCTGGCACTGTAATTATTTTAATAAAAAAACATATACAGTATGTACCTTTTTTCCTAATCGATATACAGCTGCCACATGACCCAGTTCTTCCCCAGCCTGTCTGCAGGGAAACATAGGTAGGTGGAACTTCTAGACCTCTACTGCTGGTCACATGTTCAAAATAAAAAACAGCCTTTGGGATACAGAGTAAAAATAAATAATTAATATCAATAAACTGTTTTAAAATGTCATACAAATATACAGTATATTTGAAATCAAAACTTTATTATTTTTGTCAATAACATGGTGTGGGCGGATTTCTGCCAGTCACGGGCTGTGTCACACACCAGCAGCCTGTGTCTCATAATTACAGGTAAGTGAAGCCTCAATCAATCAAGATGTAATATTTCACTGCCATAGTGTTTAGCAGGTAAATGGGCAGGGAGGGGATGGACTGTCAGTTACCACTGAGTGACTCTATAGTCACATGGGCTGCTCAGATGTGATAGGGAAGAAATGTTCACCATAGAAACTCACTAAAAACTGAGCATGTGCACTAGCTTCCAATACTGCTCTGCAAAATCCCAAGCTGCATTGGGCACTTGGAACAGAAAGGGGAGTTGGAGAACAGCAGGATCAACCAGGTTTTTTGCAGAATACAGAGAATGAATCCCGCAGTGACTGAGTGAGTATGAACAGCATGTAGTACAGCATTTATTGATAGTTTTTAATGATGTGGGTTTAGTGACATGTTAAGGCAGAATTAGATTGTACTAGTAACCTGAACACAATACATATAAAATATATTATGTTAGAGGGTTAGACATTGCATATAACTGAACATGTATTACACCTACTGTAAGCTCTTGTTCATTTTCTTATACAGTAATCTTTATTTTGTACCTAGAAAAATTACACCACAACATATTCATGAATATGCATAATACAACAGACAATGAGGCTGATTTACTAAAGAATTTGAGAATGTTCGCACAATAAAATGTGCGAAGATTTACTTTATTTATCCTGTCAAATGAAAATAAAATCCTTATTTACGTATTTTATTCAGGACTGGATTGGATAAATTAAGTGAATATTTACATAATTTGAGTGAACATTCTCAAATACTTTATTAAACCAGCCTCAATCTGTTTACTGGCATTGAACATACTCATACACAATGCTCCTAAGACACTTTCAGGGATAATCATTTATAAACAAAAATCACACATCATTTTTGGAATTTCATGCCTACCTACTGTATAGTGTCATGACAGTTACTATACATGCAAAAGAATCCTCAGGATTCTATATTCCTAAGCATGCAAATACCATGAAAATAGCAAACCTGGTGAGAATGGAATTTAGGATCCCATAGATATAAGCCTGGTTGCTGTCCCCTCAGCCACGGGTCTCCAAACTGCGGTCCGCGAGCCGGATGTGCCCCTTTGCTTGCTTTTATCCAACCCTTGGGGCACTTTTCCTTCCACTGATACGAAGCACTATTCCTTCTATTGACTCCGATGGGACACTATTCCTCCCACTGACACCAATGATGGGACACTATTCCTCCCACTGACACCAATGATGGGGCATTATTCCTCCCACTGACACCAACAATGGGGCACTATTCCTCCCACTGACACCAACGATGGGGCACTATTCCTCCCACTGACATCAACAATTGCCCACTAATCCTCCCACTGACACCAACAATTGAGCACTATTCCTCCCACTGACACCAATAATGAGCACTGTTCCTCCAACTGACACCAACAATGGGTCACTATTCCTCCCACTGACACCAATAATGAGCACTGTTCCTCCCACTGACCTGAATGATGGGACACTATTCCTCCCACTGACCCCAACAATGTGGCACTTTTCCTCCCACTGATTCCCAACCACGGGGCACTGTTCCTTCCACTGACATCAGCGACGGGGCACTGTTACTCCCATTGATACCAGAAATGGGGAACTAATTACCCCACTGGCAGCAACGATGGGGCACTGTTCCTCCCACTGACCACCAAGTCTAGGGTATTGTTTACTCCCATTGATACCAGGGAATATTTCTACTCCAACTGGCCACAATCTGGCCCACCTAAAGTTTGAAGGGCAATAAACTGGCCCTTTGTTTCAAACATTTGGAGACCCCTGCCCTAAGCCACCCAGTGCACCTTGGACAGCCCTTACCTTATCATAATGGTGCATCCCACATGGTTACGCTGTAGCTGTAAGTGCTATACACAATGAAGAGTTCTCCACTATTGACCAGTTCATTATATAAAGGTAATCCAGCAGCTATTCAGCTTTCACTCTGCACAGTATAGAGTCACTTTTTGGGTTGATTTCAAATGCCCTACTGGTTGTAATTTTGAGTACTATAACAATAAACGAGTTCCATGGTCACAGCATACACTTTCATTTTATAATAATGGCATTGTAATAATAGCAATACAAACAATAGTTATATTTGGTATTCTGGTTATATCCAGTATAACTTTATTTGAAAAATCTCCTTTCATTTTGTGAGTTTTGCCTGTCTGCTGGCCAAATCTTTCTAGAACGTCCTGATTTCCCTGCATGTTTTGCAGTTTCTCCTCTGCTGTTTACTTTCAATTTCTAAGGACTACACGTTCCATGGTACCTTGCTGCCTGCAACCTGTGATTACTGTGTTGACTCCGCCTCCCAAAACCCCTGCTGTCAGCACCTCTGTAGTTCAGAAGGCAGGCTCTGTGAAATGTGTGACACAGCAGTGTCTGTTTACAGGGCATAGTGAATACCTGTCACAGAATTCCAGGAAGTAAATGTGTGGGATCTTCAGAAAGTAAGATTACAAACTTCAAGATCATTCAGATCAATAGGAGCATGCTAGAAATAATTGAAATATAATAAGGGGATGAATATATGATTTTACATGTTGACTATAGGTATTCTTTAAAATTAAAATGGAAGTTCACCCAAAACCTAACTTTAAACCTGCTTGCAGCCACATTCTAAAATGAATCTATTTAGCTCTGTAAAGAAGAAACCACTATACACCTTTTCTGAAGCTGATTGTGTCTGATCTCCTGCGGCAGATGCTGTGTGCAGGAGAGAACTGACAATGGCTGTGAAATGCATGGGAAGTGATGTCTCCCATAGAGTTACTATGGGGCTTGGCTTCCATTGTGGATTGCCTCTCCTACACACGCCTTCACACTGAAGCTGCCACCTACAGCTCAGCGTGGGACCGTACCGCAGCAGCTACACAACAGGTATGTATAGAGATTTCTTCTTTACAGGGCTAGATAAATTAGTTTTAGAATGTGGCTGTGAGTAGGTTTAGAATTAGTTAGGCTCTGCTTTAAATAATGCATGCAAATTAATTCAAATAAAATCCAATAATGTGGATAGTTCAATAATAACTTTCACATTTTGAAAAGAAAATATATAGGTTAAAGCAATAAGGTAGTAAACTTTGGTGGTATTTAATCACCTCTGGGTTTTTTATTTTTTGAAAATGTTGAAAAAAAAAAAAGTTTTTCTTAGTTTCTGTTATAACATTTTGTAAATAAGTGATTTTTTTCCTACACTAATGTGCGCTAATGAGGCTGCATTGATGGGCACTGATAGGCGGCACTGATGAGGAGGCACTGGTAAGTAGCACTGATGGGCATTGACAGGCATCACTGATGGGAACTGAAAGGCAGCACTCATATATGGCACTGATAGGCGGCACTGACTGGCACTGATAGGTGGCACTGACTGGCAGCACTGATAGGTGGCACTGACTGGCAGCACTGATAGGTGGCACTGAAAGGCAGCTCAGATGGGCACTGATATGTGGCATTGATGTGCACTGGTAGGTACTGATATGTGTCACTGATGGGCACTGGCAGGTGGCATTGATGGACACTGACAGGTGGCACTGATGGGGCTACACTGATCATCAGGGCACACTGATCATCAATGCCCTGATGATCAGTGTACATGTCCCCTCTGAGTAATGCCAATTAATGGCTCTCCTCTCCTCACGAGTTGTCAGTGTGACAGCTCATGAGGAGAGGAATGCAGATAACAGGCATTTCCTTATTTACATGCAATCAGCTGTGATTGGACACAGCTGATCACATGACGGAGCCAACGTCTTCGGCTCTTTCCATTGATCGGTGAGCTGCTGTGTTCCAGGGACACATTGCACCACCGATCGTCGTGTTGCGTGGTTAGAGTGGTAGGACGTCATATGATGTCCTCCCAGAACGAGAGTGAAACCACCTTGCGCCCGTCATTACCTTATATGGCGGGCGGGAGGCTGTTAAACAAACACTATTTGCTACGAAAAAAATCGGAACGTGTCCATGTTTGCACATATTTTAAAAAAAGTGTGTTTATGTACAGCAGCAGAAAAATAGGCAATTAAAAATAATCATGTTGTACAGCGCTACACAAACTGTTGGAGCTATATACACTCACCACTTTATTAGGTACACCTTGCTAGTTCCGGGTTAGACCCGTTTGCCTTCAGAACTGTCTTAATTCTGTGTGACATAGATTCAAAAAGGTGTTTGGGTCCATATTGACATGAGTTACTGTTGCCTTTCTATCATTTCTAACCAGTCTGCCCATTCTCCTCTGACCTCTGACATCAACAAGGCATTTTCGCCCACACAACTGCCACTCACTGGATATTTTCTCTTTTTCAGACCATTCTCTGTAAACTCTAGAGATGGTTGTGTGTGAAAATCCCAGTAGATCAGCAATTTTTGAAATATTCAGACCAGCCCGCCTGGCACCAACAACCATGCTATGTTCAAAGTCACTTAAATCCCCTTCTTCCCCATTCTGATACTCGGTTTAAACTTTAGCAAGTCGTCTTCACCATGTCTAAGATGCGTAAATGCATTAAGTTGCTGCCATGTGATTGGCTGATTATCAGTTTGTGTTACTGAACAATTGAACAGGTGTACCTAATAAAGTGGTCGGTTAGTGTAAATCCTGTATAATAATAATAATAATATAAAGAGTCTTTACTGAGTCACTATCCTGCCTTAAAATAGCACATCTGTCACAAATATAGAGAAGGCAAAACTCCAAATTTAATATAAAAAGCTAAATTTTTTTCATTAGCGATGCTTAATAATGTCGTGTTTGTATCAGCTTTTGCAGTGACTAACTCATGTGCATGTAGTCTTGCTATTACATTTACAGTGGCATAATATACTGGCCTTATAGCTTGTGATCAAGTGCTAATGAAAACCAAATCCAGTTATCACCAGATTTTTTCAGAAGTCTGCAGTTACACCCTTGAGTAAGACATTTAGTCATCTGTTAGGATGCCAAGAACATGTAGTTCCTCCTGCTAGTAAGTGGTAAATCCTTTTAGCTCTGGTCACAAGGTAAGACACAAGTAAAGACATGGAAAACCAGATTTGACGCCAAGGATTTACATATATGAATTTGCTTTGCTATGGTCTTTTCCTTTTACACAATCAGAACATACAATGTAACGAACGTCTGTTTGTTTGAGTCTTTTTTTTTATATTACTACCTCTTCGTGAACCTAGATGATATACTGTAGTTTAACAACATAATTTCTAATTAAATAGTTCACTTAGATCACAATCATTTCTTCAACACATCGATTGTAAGACGTTCATCAAAAGGTAAAAAAAGCAAAAAGTCACGTACTGTATGTCTATATAAATTATACAGTATACAATGAAAAGGGCACACAATACAGTTTTATTAGGAAATTACCGCAGTGACAAATACATGTCTTTAATGTTTATTGGCTGTTATTTTTCTGACCTTTCTGAACTTCAGAAGTGTCAGAGATTTATAGAAGCCTGATAATATGAATACCTTATAGAACAAAGAAAGTCATACATTTTTGTAGCATTTTAACTAGTTATCATTAGGGCAAAATGAATAGAAATGTTTCACTTAGGAAAAGGAATGTTCATTTAACTTGGTAAATAAGACAAAGCTATGTTCACTTTGAATATCTAGTCATATGTAAGGGAAATATTAAAAAAATAACACGAATTTGAACTATCATAGTGAATGCAGCTTTACCTTTTTAATTAGGGTATGTGTACATTGAGTTTTTAAAGTGAACATTAATTTTGTTAAGTGAACGGCCTCTATTTCTTTGGTTTTAAGAATTTACCCAGAGACTTAAAGTGTATTTTAATTTTTGCAGCCAAATTGTTAGTTATGATTATTATAATACAGGATTTATACAGCATCAACAGTTCACTCAGCACTTTACAATATAAAAGGAGACAGTACAGTTACAATACAATAAAATACCAGAGGGTTAAAAAGGCCCTGCTCATAAGAGCTAACAATCTAATAGAATTGCTATAACAGCTACTTTATATTTTTTACATGTCCACATTCACATAGTACGACTAGCAAAACAAAATTGCTGCTCCATTTTTTAGATGCTGTATGTTGGACCTTTCAGCAAAGAAAAACCTCTTTGTGAGGAGCCTGGGAAGTTGTGTTCACTTTGACAGACCGCCTGGCACCCCACCTGAGTGCCTCAGCCAAACGGTGCCTCCTGCCCTCCAAACCTTCCAGCAGATCAATAGTTAATACCAGCCCTGTACCCCAAGCATCATACACAGACAAGATGTTGAGGAAAAAAAACCAAAGAAATATCTTTATTGAACAGAAATACAGGTTTTTATACATTTTAAAAGTAGGGGCAGTTCCCACATGAACAATAAAAACAAATATTGCACATTGAGGTAAACATCCCACAATGGTTAGGTAATGAGGTAAAGTTGTCACAAGAACAACCACAATAGGAGGATTAGCAAACAGAGAGAAACAATAGGTTACTCAATTAACAATGAGAATTCACACTCAGGAGACACACAATGGAGAAATAGGGGAAAACACTTAAAACCTAGACAGGATAGGCCAACACATAACACCTTAATAAACATATTACACATAAAACACAGGAGGCCCCAGCATCAAGTTGTTTTGAGTGGATTATAATCTTCTGCTTTGAGTCTAGGAGGGGAAGGGGGGTTGAAGCAGTCAATGCTGGTTTGGGCACAGAGGCTCCAAATCTGTATCCTCCAGTTATCAGAGTCTGTGTATTTCAGGGAGACATGGACTTGAATCTGAAGCAAAACTACTCCAAAGGTCTCCCCAAGCACACTCCTCCCAAAGAATAGAGCTCTCCTCCAATACCAAGGCCCATAGTCAGTAGGCAAGAGGCTAGCCTGCAGTTCCCTTTAAAAGCCCCTGTCCCAGTTGGGTGTGTCACATTTCTCCTTCTCCAAAAGCAGACTAACTAGGTCCCAGACTTCCAAGTAGTCTGGACATGTGTTAGTCCAGCAGAGTGAACCAACATAGTCGGTCAACATGATCTCCATTCTTGACCGCAAGGAAAATATGTTGTCAGCAGGTGTGGGGAAGAGGTCATGGACCCTCTGTCTGACTGCCAGCGCTTCAGCTGGGAGGTCTTTACTGTTTTGGAGCTCAGTCTGCTGCTGGTAAGAGGGGTTGCCTGACCTGACTCACTGGAGCCATAAAGACACAGTAGGGGGTAGACAGAAGCTAGTAGTGCTCTGCCCTATTGCTAGTGCTTCAGCTGGGGACCCCACATCCCTCACTTGACTAACTGTTGGGATGGGAGGAAAGGCTGACCACCTCCTCCCCTGGACTGAATATCTGCCGCTTGGGAGGGGGAATGGCTTCGTCCCCTCTCTGCACCTCTGACTGCCGCTGGGGAGTGAGGATGGTTTCCTCCCCTGCCTGAACATTGGACTGTCACTGGGGAGTGAGGATGCCTTCCTCCCCTCTCTGCTCCCTGGACTGCTGCTGGGGAGGGGAATGACTTCCTCAATTCCCTGCACGTCTGACTGACACTGGGCAGCAAGAATGATTTATATGTTTATTGATTTATATGGATCCAAATTTACATACATATACCATCCTTATTCAGTCTTCATTCACATCTGAGCATGTTTGTTTAAGAACATTATTATTAAGATCTTTCAACTTTTCTTTGGTATGGATTGTTCACGCATTTTTCATGTTTTTGTAATTGTATTTTTATCAAGCTCGTAAATGTAAATGTATTGTACTATCCCCACTGTAATTGTAAAACCAATATATACTATTGAGACATGTTGTTGACACGGTGGCCCCTTCTCCCAGCCTGAGATGGCCCAACCCAGAAGGGAGGGTCCATTTTTAGTTTTAGAGTATATATGGGAGAGAGTACTCAGTGTTCAGTTAGCTCTGATGAAGAAGGGACCCCCTTCGAAACGCGTCAGCTGTACCCTGAGTGTCTACCCCTATGATGAGACTCGCGCAGGCTCTACTATTCTAAAGTTCCCTTGAGGACTTACATGCTTGATTTGCTTAGATGTTTGTGAGTATTATTCTGTATTCAATAAAATCTGGTTTACTGAAGTAATGCGCAAGGTTGGTGCGCTTTCTGTTTTATTTTGCTTTGCAGTACTGGTCGGGCTTCCCCAGCCTTGTTTGGAGCTGCACAACCCCATATGCACTGATGGTTGATTTTTTCAAGTTCTGGTTCCCTATCCACCCCTTCTTGGGTCTCAGAGCGTAGGAGAGGTCGTTTCTGGAACTAAATCTAGAACTATATTTACAAGGCAATAGCACATACTCTTTAATCAATATATTGCCCTTTAGAAAGTTTCATACACATGGCATGAATGATCTCATGTCCCACAAGATTTGATTCAGGCAATACTAAATTGTAACAGACTCATTGGGAAGAAAGAGGAGGCTTTAAGAAAAACACTGATGTCTATGAGAGGAGTAACACAGAATGTACCTAATAGTCAGCGAGTTGAAGATCAGATGAGATCAACTTATTTATCACCAGTTTATTCCCTGTCTACTTCTCTTGGATATTATTAAGGCATAATACTACATTATTTTAC